TCCTGGCAAGTCTCACCTATATTCCTGTAACAAACCATGCGAGATTCGCAATTTGTGCGGTTCACATTTAAGTCGAAGGCGCCTACGGAGGGGTTAGAAATTTAAAATTATATATTTGGTTTGGAAAGATATAAGATGTAAATTGTGAACTTGCCATGCCCACACTCTCTGGGATCCACTGAATTACCGGAGTCACACTCATTGCGTGCAAGAAGTGGCCTTCGATTTAGAAAAATTAAGTAAAAATACTAAAATAATTGCAATAATAAAATAAATATTTATACTCACATTCCTTCGGTGGTTCGATGCAAGAAAACCAGCATGAATACCAGTAGCCAACTCTGCTTTAGTGTCCAGTACATATGTGAGAGCACGTTAATACTTGGATACATTATAGGTTCTTAAAATTGTGTCCCAAGACCTTTTCGTTAAAATAACAGCACTTGATGCTGCTGCTTCAAAGCTGGTGAAGCGTTTGATGGTTTTCCTTTGAGTTTGAATATCCTTTTATATGCAGCTCTCTAGCTTTATGGTTAACATTTAATTAATTCAAATTTATGAGAGCTAAAAATACTTAATTAATTATTCATTCAAGGATACTAAGGCGTTTAATGATATTATCATTGGTCAACTGCACTTGTCTGTTATAACAAGGGTGAGTATAATTACTTTAAGACTATAATTTGAATATGTCTTATTGAATTCTGATTATAATAATTTGGTCGCTAATAACATTACTCAACAAATCTGAAGCAAAAACTTGCGACTGATGTACTAAGAGGTGAGGTATTTGAGATGTCCTAATTACGAATTTGAGTTCAAAACTTTTCCATAACGCACGAAATTTTTGTCATTTTAGTAAATTGTGGTGATTTGACCCCTACACCTCTTAACTACAATACAAAAAATCACACGTGTTAGGAAATGTTTACTATCATTGTCGGTTCAAGGAACACAAAACTAGCAAGAAACAGCCTGTGGCATCACAATAGCAAAATGACTGTAAGCTAGTGTAATATTTCTTTAGCATGGGTATTGATATTTGTATTGGTGTTGGCATTGGTAATGGTAATCTTATCGGGATTGAAATTGATATTTGTATTGGTAATGTTGTTGGTATCGATACATGAAATAATATTGACATTGGAAATATTGTTGATGTTGGTATTGGCATTGGTATTGCTATTGATATTTGCATTTGTATTGGTGTTAGTATTCGAATTAGTGTTACTTTTGGTTTTGGTATTGGTATTTGTATTTGTATTGGCATTTTATTATTTCATTTGATTACACTCTGAAAATAGGTAACAAAAGTTAACGAGATAAATTTTGACGGTTGGTCCGTCATCAGATATACTTACATATT